TTACAAGAAATTTATGACTTCACCACCGATTATTTGGTTGCCTACATCTAGAATGAATTCAATTAACAAAAACAAGATTTTAATAATATCAAATTAACTATTAATATTCATAATTGATAAATATTAATCACTAAAATTAATTTATTTTCATTTAATTTTTACAATTAAATATCAATAATTCTAATTAGAAAATTTGTTATCAATCCTAATTAGATAAATATAATTATACAATTTCTATATTAATATAATAATTAATTTGAAGTAATAAATTTTAAATTTAATAAATATAAAAAATCTATTGAATCTCTTATATTTAAATGAAAAATTAAATATCAATCATCATTATTATTTGATAAATTAAAATGTCTTATTATCTGATCGATTGGTTAATTTGGTGAGTTTTTTTAGTTTTTTTTTCGGGGAAAATAATGTGAGTCAGTTTGTCTTGGCTCAAATGTCGTAAAAAGCAAAAACCCGGAAAAAACATAGAGAGCAAAAATAAGAAAATCTGATAGAAGCCAAAGCGCAAGTTCTGATAACAGTGCCGGCAATCTTCTTTTCCATGGCCCGTCCATTTCTATCACATCTTTTCTCTTTGGACTGTCTATGCTCTTCCTAGTAGAATTTTAAAGAGTCGCCAAAAAAGCTTAGCCTCTTTGAACGACGTTTTTGTCGATCATTCTTTCCTTTCGCGCGCTTCGGCGGCTACATCCCGTAAATCCGCTGAATTACCGATTTACTAAAATTCGGAATTAAGAGAAAGTGGTGTAGGAAAAGGATTGAAGTTTGTTGGATTTAAAGTTCTCATTTTTGTCGTTTGGCAGGATTTAGGCTAAATCCTGCAACCAAACAAACCCTATCTCTTCAAATTCTAGGGAAACATGGAAGCAAGCTTGGCTCTTTCCTTCTCTTCTCCCAATGCCCACCTCGTCTTCAATATCCTCAACTCTGCCCCTCCTTCACCTTCTAATCGCAAACCCTTTTACTCTTTCTATAGAAACTTTTGGCCCAAATCGCCCAAAGCTCTCACCTTTTCTCCACCAACTAAGAATTCTTTCATTGTCTCTCCACCTTACGCTGTCGTCGAGGCCTTAGAGACAACTACGGAGTCATGCATTCTTCCAAAAAGAGCTTTTTCTAAGTTAGATAACGGCGGGAAATTTCATAGCCCGAGAGCTGCTAGGGAACTCGCTTTGTGAGTTAGAAGTTTCCGAGTTTTTTTATTTATTTATTTATTTATCGTCAAAGTTTCTGTACTTCCTATAATTTGGGAAACTTGATTTTTATTAGAGACAATTTGATGGCAGGTTGATTGCATATGCCGCTTGCTTAGAAGGGTCCGACCCTGTTTTTCTCTTAGACAAGAGGGTAAATGCAAAAAAAGGTATTTGGGCCTTTGCCTTTTATTGTTCTAATTTGTTGAAAATTTCATGATTTTGTTTTCTGTTTGGTGTTTTTTTGGATAATTTTATGCTCCTTTTGGCTACCAGTGGAATTTAGTAAATATTGTAATTCCAGATTTTGTATAACCTAGAGTTGTTAAATCTTGAATTTATTTGATCTGATAAATGTTAAATATGGTTAAATCCTAATAAACTGTTTGAGAGATGTTTTCCAGAATTAGGATTTAAATGAATGAAAACAAGATGCATGGTTAGTATAAGTGGTATAAATATTTTAAATCCTAGCTCCATCTTGATTTACTAATTCAGAATTTGCAAAAAGCTAGAGGTAATGATATTTAAGAAGTTAGTAGGATTTATGTATATTAAAAAATGGTTTTGCAAGATTTATAGGTTGAATCTTGCAATCAAACAATCTCTTATGTTATTATTTTTTTTCCGTATGGTTGTCTTTTATTGGTTAGGGGTTTTTTCATTGTGATTAATGTGAGGTTCCAGTGCCTGGTTATGTCTTCGACAAGAATTCTCTGCTGGAGTATGATCACATGAGCTTTAGTGGGGAACCTGTTCAGGTGAAAAGTGAAGAAGAGGCAGAGGAGCTTATGAAAAAGAATGAAAAAGACTCAAAAAATGGTAATCCCTCCCATATTCTTTATTATATAATGTGTATGTTTTCTCAAACAGTATAATTATTTTAGCACTGTAAAGTCTTAAATATATATTTTTTTTAAAGTTATAATATATTCCATCTTTGTATATGAAAATCCTTGTTAGGAGAGTAGATGTATTAGATTTGGCCTATGCTTAGCGAGGTAGAGGTAAAGCTAAAATGAATTAGCTAGAAAATATTAGAAATGACCCTTTTTTTTAAATAGATTTAAATGAGATTTTGACTCCTAGCATGAGGCAATGAAGAAAATGGATTCATCTAATAGACCTCATGTAGTGGGATAAAGACTTGATGTTTTTGTTGTTGTTGTTGATTGTGTATGAAAATTCCAAACTTTTTTTAAGCAACAATTCCATAAGTCAAAGTTTGTGATGTAGTTAAAATGGGCATTGACTTAACTTATTTGTTTTTGGCTCTATAATGAATAACTTGAACAAGATTAAGATATTTCAACTTGTTTAAAAATTTGAGCTCATTCATTTTTTGCTTGATAATCATGAATCATTCTTGATTAGATCTTGCTCATTTATGTCTTGTTGAAAGGGAAGAAAGAGTGTCATTGAGACATCCTCTCACTATCTTTCTTTTCTTGCTCTGTTTTCTATCTCTGTATTGTTACACAATGAGTAGATCCTATTTTATCATGCTAATCTACTTAAATATAAGAAAAACAACAAAGAGGTTATTCAAAATAAAATAAAAGCTTCACAACTACAACCATTTATGCAATTATATAATTGTCAATTCAAAGACGCACTAGCCTTAATAAAGATATAGCTTTCAAAGAAGTTCATAAGAGCATCGTGGCCATATTTAGATGATGTAGTTGTCATGTTTAGAGATTTTTGGCATATAAGACACTTAATTTGGGCCTTGTAATTACTTATTTAGATATAGTTGAAAATTGAAATTAACTTATCCATTCTTGTTGGTCAGAATAGAACTTGGGATTGACATTTAGTATTTGTTAACAATATCATTATACCGAAATCTATTTCTTAAGACCTCTTGTTGCAGAGTACTTCCATCATACTGTTTTGTTTAGCTTGTCATCTCTATTTCTACCTAAATAACTACCTAAATAATTTTTTTTTTTAGGCAAACCTTGATTTTCAAACTGTTTGATAAACAATGAGGATTTGAAATGCATAAGCAAGCTTCCTAGGTTTATTTCAACTAGGAACTTAGGCTTTAGAGACAATTTGATGCATTAATTCGGTAATGGCCGTAGAAAAGGATCAAGGATTCTAGTACGAAATGGATGCCATAGAAATTTCAAGAAGCTGGGTCAAATTTTGTTCAACTATGACCTTTTCAAAAAGAAAAAAAAAAGTACCAATAAGGTTATCTAAGGTGACCAGCCATGACATCATTGTCATTATTACTACCTCAATTAATGCTGACTTTTTTCTTTGTCGCCATGGTAGTGTCCGATCTTTGTAATGGTATTAACCTGCATGTATAATATGTATTTGTTGTGCTTGTACATATAGGCACTGATTTAGTCGAGAATGAGATTCAAGTTTGTGTTATAGTTGACACTCTTGTTGATTCTATGGTTTTCACCTGATATTTCTGTGAATTTCTATTTGTTCTTGTCTGCAAAACTTAATATGGGGTGGCATTTCAGGGAAATTGAAGAAATAACTGAATCTAGGGTTTTGAAGTTTACAAATTATAAATTATGAGGCATGGTGGTGTGAAACTACTAGGAGTTACTTGAGAAATTAAAAGGAACAATTGATTAAAACTTGCTAATGAAAATTATTGCTTGCAAATAGAGAAGAGTTAGGAATTCAAAGTATTCAACTTGCTTAGGCAAAGAAGCGCTTTTGATATTAACTGAATAATCCAATCAAAATTCAAGACAATAGTAAATACTAAGTACACAACATAATCCACCACTTAATAACGAGAGGTTCACCTTGAGTACCTTCTCGCTCAATCACTCTTAGGATTTAGCGGAGAAAGACGAACCATACGAGGAAGGATATTACTACTAGGAAGACGGCACCGAGGACCTTCGCTGATGGGGAGGTAGCCGGCGGCGGAGGAGGCGGTGGGTGACCGATGATTATCCAACGACCCGGTTGAAGGTGCTCTTCAATCGATAATGTTAGTTGGTATAAGATGTGGTCGACATATCCGTCAACAGTCTCGTCGTTGCCAAAGTACACGTCAAAGAATGTGGATCCAAGAATATCTGATCGTCCTTGCTCGTCGAAGCCAAATTCGGCCATGCATGGTAGAAGGGAGGAAATAATTTGTCTTTTTCTTTGGCTTCAAACAACATGAGAGTTTTAGGTTTTCCACGGGAGGATGCAATTGGAGCGGGGTGGCCAAGGGGAAGAGAGGGAATTAGATTAGGTTAGAGGGTGAGAGAGAAAATTTTAGTAAGTATGAAATTAATTCATATTTAAGTGGATTTAGAGGGAATTAAATTTGAGATTGATTTCAAATTCAAATAGGGTGAGGGCTCAAAGAGGAAAAATACGAGAGAAGCCCAATAAGGGGGGCCGGCTGCATTAAGAGGAGGAGGTTTGTGGGGAGGGATTTAAGAGTTTCCAAAACAACTCATGGGAATTAGGAAAGGCAATAAGAAATCCAATCTAATTTGAATTTCAAATAGGTTTGATTTTATGCACTTTCCTAATTAGGATTTAAAAATAAGGAAAGTATTTGAAATTTGAATTTCAAATTTCAAATAAGATTAATTTCTTTCCTTTTCCATGTAGAGCTAATTTAAGAAGGAAATTATGATAATTGAAATCATCATAATTGAGGTGGAGCTAATGGGGAGGCCGGCGGCAATGGGGGAGGGGGAGGGGGAGATGGCGTCGGGTGTGAGGAAGGAAGGCTTGAGCCGCCGGTTGGAGGGGGGGATTTTGGTGCTTCATTAGGGTGGGATTTGGATCGTGATGGATATAAGGGTGGAGATCGGTAGACAAGTGGGTAGTGGCTGGCAGGTGTGGAGAGGAAGGGGAGGGAGGAAAGATGGAGACCACGAGCCACGGACTCTTCCAATGACTGGTGGGTATTGCACTTGCCGCACTCCGGACTCTCTCTCTTCTCTCGAGCACACACACAAGAAGAATAAGAAGACAAACTCAAATTTTATTCAATCATTTATCATCCTCTTACAACACATAAGACCACTATATATATAGGTCTCAAACATGAAAAAAGAAAAGTACACAATTTCCCTCTAGGCTACAATAATAAGACACTTCCTCATAGGGGTAAATTCGGAAAATAACAAAACTAAATAAAACATAACATAAAGAAATGCATCAAAAGTAAAGACGTTGAATTGTAGCCGTTGATCTGCGATTCCTTCGTCGATAAACTTGTCGATAACGCCTGTCGATGTCCTCATCATTCTCCCCAGGTGGAAGAAAACTCGACCTTATCCAGTGAGTGTCCCTAGAGCTCTCGTACAACTCCAGGAGGTATGGATCTAGTCTCTGCTGAAAGTTTGATAGGGATGTTAAGCCCTTATGAACTAGTCTCGAGGCTAACCAAGAGAGGGGTGAATTGGATATTAAAAAATTTCTCTAAACAAAAACACAATCTTAAACCAAACCAAGATTCATCACAAGAGAAACGAGTGTGGAAATTAAAGTGCAGAAATAATAAAAGAAAGAACACAACAGATTTATAGTGGTTCGGTCAAACATTGACCTACGTCCACTCCCCGGAGGCACCCTCGGAGTATTGCACTAAATTTTTAGTGACTTTCCTTTAGTCCCACACAGCTAGGCGGAGAAGCCCTTACAAAATCACTTCCTCCTTCCCTGGTGTGGCGGAGTAGTCGGGTCCTTTGACACCAAAGAGATCTTTTTCTTCCCAAAACTTTCCTCAAGATGAACCTTGAATTCGATGGTACTAAGGTGCAAGCTTGCCGGAGCAACCATGTGAAACCCTCCAGACTCCCTTGAAATCATCTCCAAGGATCTTCTTCCTCTCTCAAACTCCACCCTTTCCTCTCTCCCTTTCAAGTTCTGTCTTCAAGTTTCCTCTAGAAGAACGAAGCTTCAATGGCTGCTAAAGACACTGACTTGTATAAACAAGAGGGCTTAAATAGAAGAGCTCCAAATTTGCTATTAATTGCAACAAACTGACACTATCCTCCAGGACGATATTCATATCGTCCTGTACGATTAGTTCAAATCGTTGAGCATTGACAAGAACATCACCCTGATTGCATGTCTAGACGATGGAAAAGTAAACTGATTGCCAAGGACGATCTCACAATCGTTTCGGCCGATTAGTACAAAAAAGGCACATATCGTCCAGAGCATCGTCTTGGATGGAGCTAGACCGATTATGAATCATCCAGGAAGAACCAAGGTTTGTTAACTGATCGTTTTGGATGATCCTGCGATCGTCCAGGACGATATGATCAAGCAATCAAATCTTAATTGCTTTGCTTAATTACCAAACTAATTTTGGCATAATTGTAGTGCATTGTCCATGACGATGACCTGGACGATGTCCAAAAATAAAATATGCCTAATAGGTTGTAGCGGCTGATTCTTTCTGAATTGAGCCTATCGTCCCGGACGATGCCAGTATCGTTCAGGATGATTTGCTTACTTGCGGCTATCTTAATCAGGATGCTCTAATTAGGATTTTTTTTAACCGATCGTCCGGGACGATTTGGGATCGTCCCGGACGATATGATCGAAAACAGAAAACTCTAAAATAGTTAGAATTTTTCCCCCAAGTATGTATGTGCAAGATTACTAAGCACGCATACATCTTTACATTACATGACTCAAAAAATCAAAAACACCAATGAATATTACAAATAAAATTTGTTCAACCAAATCTTGAGCCTTGAATGGTGCATCGTAATTCTGAAAAGTTAGTATACACATAAATAAAAATATATTGCAAATACAGGTAGACAATAGAAAGTGAACCACAATATTTGTTATCATCAAAAACATTAACTCATAAG